TAGATCTAGATGTGATCATGACTATTGAGTTGCACGGATTGACTTTGTAATTTGACTTGTAATAATGTTGCATCATTGGATGAAGCAATATCCAAGAGTCACGTCATCCAAGGAATGTGAGCTTGAATAAGTTAGTCATTAAGTGTAAGACAAGTAGCCAGTATGAGCAGTGTTTTGCTCTCTGCCCAACTAATGGGAGTGGTTGGAGTAAAATTTCATGCATTATGATAGTATCTGTTGAAGTGTCACTTAAAGTTAAGAGATTAGCACATAGAAGCTGAAAAATCTATTGACATTAAGTGAGAAGATTAGCACCAAGTGGGTGCAAAAATCTATTAGTACTTCCAACTTGTCTAAGTCTGGACACTTATTGTTTCCACACTTGATTGTGAGACATGAGGAAGTGCTTCTTTATATGATTCCTTAGCTACTCTAACGCCTTTGAATGGCATTTATCACTAAGTGCAAAAGTTGTAGCATAGTAATTAAAATATCAAGGCCAAGTTGGTTGTTATGACTCTAAGAATTTGATGTATTGCTCATAAGAGTATCGTGTTGAATTAGACTCTTTAGCCTAATTCGTGCTTAAGTTACTTCAGAAGCAATCATAGGTTAGTATCTTATTCTTTCCTTGTAGTGGACAATAGAATTATGAACAACTAATTATGAAGCGAGAAATGGAGATGGCAAATGTCATGTTTCAACTAGATGCATTAAAGTGTGTGGAGAATAAAATTGACTTGAAGGTGCAGGGGATTAGGACTTACTAGTTAAGTTTGTGACTTAGGCACACTTGGTATCTCCATGACATCCTTTTATGATCTAGTGAGCGTGAGTTAGTCATGGGTTATTGCCTAGTTGGACCTAAGCCTTTGCACTTGTCTTCGAGAACTTACACATTAGGATGATTGGAATTATTTTATGACATTTGTCATAAATCGGTGGCTTATTGTACTTAATCACATTGACGAAAGGATGACAGATGATTTGAGTAGCCCTCTTAGGCCAACTCGCTTACAGCATCTTGCTTCCATGTGAATGTGTAACTTTATTCGCAATGGTTACACACAAGTAAGTTAGAAAGCCAAAAACGAGCATCTGTATTGGCGCATTTGGTCACATATCGTTTTCTTAGCAGAGATGATGCGAATAGAGTTGTGGAACTCTATAAGATAAAGAATTCTAAGTATGACGCTTTATGTAGTCTAGTTGAAAATGAAAAGAAATTTCCAATATCCTAGGGACAGTGGGAGCGATGTGCCTACTAGTGGATTACTCCATTAAAGAAGAATACTCTAAAATTTTAGCAAATGTGGAATTTTTCCAAGTCAGCACTAAGTGATTGAGAGGCAAACATTCATGATTACTCTGCAAAATAATAAAGAGCCTAGGATAGTGTCAAAGGCTCTTTAGTCTCTTGTTTTTAGAAACTAGGTCAATGTTGCGCGTTTAAGATGAAATCTTTGAGGATTAACCATTTCTAGGTTGACTTTCTGCTATGACGTGAAAATATTCTAAAGTTATGTGCGATTTAGGTAGTCATTTTTTTGAGGCATAAGTCTCACTAAATACCGAAATGTCGCACCATTAAGGACATGTAGACTATGATAAGACTTCCTTTTAGGGAGTAAGGTTACGTCGACTTAGGCTATGATTGACATGAGTTCAAAACTTTACTTTGTGGACATTGTGAGTCAACTTCTCATTGGAGAATTGGATTAGTAGATGCATATGGATTTACCTTCTACTTTTATGGAAAAAAGTTAGGAGCACAAAAGATTGCTAGTTCCAATAAATCTTTTACGACATAAAGTAGTTATCCAATTAGTGGTTCTTATATTTCATCAAGCCATGATGGGCCAGCGATGATCGATGATGACCATTGAAGCATGATCAATGGTCCAAAAAGAAGTTTTTTTCCTTACGTAGTCATTATGAGACAGGAATTTATAGGGTTCTCGTCACATAAGGTTGGCAGTCCTCTATTTTAGACATGATAGACATAAGTGATACAATTTATATGCTCAAATGTATTATCCTTAAGGATTGTTCTGGGAGAATTCTCTGTTTTTCTTTGATGACTTACATAAGGAACACTCTAGAATGATTCTAGATGCAAAATTACAAACTAATTGACTTACCTATTAGTATAAGCCAGAGCCTCAGCTATTGAGTGAATCTTCAGATTGTCTTAGAGTGAAACAAATGATCTATATTCCTTGATCTTTTCTTGTGGGAGCTTGGAGTACGCTATGTGGGCGTATTCAACATGATGGGTGTTATCTTTTGTAAATAGTCCACTGAGTAATTTAGACATTGACCTTGCTCATTAGATTGTGGATAGGATACTGTATTGTTAGTGTATAAATTTGCCCCTTACAAGATTTAATGTGCTAGTTGGACGTATCTTGAATGAATGCAAATTGGTCACTAGAATGTCTTTAGAGAGGTAGTTGTGCAAGAGATAGTGATCTTGAACCATTTCATGTGAGGCGCACATGGTGGATTCTGTTTTATATGCTTATCGTAAGAGGTGCTGGTAAGGCCTATGTTTGGAATCTAGAATTGCGCAGACTGTGCATGTGTTTTTCAGTCGATCTCTTGTTTTTGTGACATTATGGGATATTGATGTTATTATAGTTTGTGTCATAATGATTAGCAAATGGTGATGTTAGCAGGCAAGATTGGCTCACTCACACGAGCAATCACCATTGGCACTTGAAAGCGAACAAGGATGAGACTAGTGGTTAATTTTATTTAGAGCCAAGAGAGGCTTAAAATTATCCACTATATATGGCACCTTGGTTGCAACCAAGATGAGATCATGTTAAAGACCAAACATGGATGTTAGTATCCACTTTCCATGTTTTGCCTGTTATGATTAGCTTGATGCGAGATCTCATTTGGCGCCTGGAAAGCGAGCCAAAAGAGAATCTGGGTTAGGTGCTAGAAAGAAACTTGTAAACTTAAGAGTGAGTAGACTAAGATCTGTACGGTGTATGGAGTATGACGTCACTCTTTGGAAGAGTTACTCCACCATAACATGTATTTATACTATATGTGCTTGGCAACCGAGTAATGAGATGAGAGAATAGATCCCTAGTTCCTCATCATGTGTATTGATATGACTTTCACTTTGTATCCTTTTGTGACCTTTGACTATCTCATAAGCTGAGAGGTTGATGTTCTGCTACTTTGGTATGTTGCTTGCAGTCATGTATAATTTGGCCTTATGGGACATGATTGGGAAAGCGGTCAATCCTAAACTAAATGGCCTGAGGGCAAAGAGAATATCATCTAGTATTACACTATAGTTGTATATTCATTGTTGACAACTCACATCTCTCTGCATGAGAGGTGGATTGAGTGTGAATATATTGCATGTTATAAGATGGTTGAGCATGCTCTGTGAGGGATTAGAGATGTTTGGACTGGTATAGTTGGATGGGTCTGGGATATATGAGACACTATTATTATCTTTGGGTTAATGTCTCTATGCTGGCTCTTTTGAGTTTCTAGTGTAGAGCTCTCACATGCAGGTGTTTTCAACAGTCGCATAGTCCATTGGCAAGTATGAGTTTGTTTGAGATTTGGGCATAGTGAGATTGAGATTGAGACAGAGACGCGGCACTGTTATGCTAACCAATGTGCAAGTGGGAGATGTTGGAAATTGGGTCGAGTTTTGGACCTGAGTTTGGGCACCCATAGTGGCATGATCCATGACCCATTAAGTGACTCTATCAGTTTGAATTTTAAACCACTTTATCTTGGGGATAAGACTGAGTAACCCACAATCTGATCTCCTAGGAAGATAAAGTTGTGGGTTGTTACATGTGTCTCTTTGTAATCACTTATACATATAACGTATTAGATTATGGGTTTTAATTAAATATGGAAAAATATTTTGGTCTCTCTAGCTCTCTGCCATGGGATGCCTTTGTACTATGAAGAGTGTGGGTAATTCTCTGGTCGTTCTACCCCACTGTTGAGATTTGTTCAAAGACATCGATGAAGGCACGTAATTCACTCACATAATCCATAGATTCAGTCTGAGCATAAAATGTATGCTTGAATCCGTTTATTTTTACTGTGTATTATTTCTTATTTTTTCTACAGAAATGTATTATGAAAATGTTAAGAATGTTTTAAGAATGTTTAGAACCTATCCATTAACCACTTTACTCTGATGTTACTTATTAGGTTTTAACTCACCCCTTTTCCCCATATATACGTAGATGATCAGCAAGAGAATCAAGCCTAGAGTTTTGCTTATGACGACCCTTTTGTGAAACTTCTGTTGATGGCATTTCCGGGTCGATGCTTTTTTTTTTTTTACCTCATTCTGAAAAAGTTTTTGGAGATCATGACTTTGTATTTAAGTTTATAAATGTTGTACCTTTATACTTAATGTAATTATGTAAGTTAACTAATGATATATGTATGTTGCTTCCATGTCTTTTACGCACTACTCAATGGTCTGCATTACTTTTGTTAGAATACTTCCGTTTAAGGCCTCATTATATTATTAAATATTTTGTGATTTGTCAGGATAGACCTTTAGTAATCTAAGATTACTGGCTGGTCATTTCTCTAACCTAGGTTGAAGAGATGACCGGCCAATAAATTAGGGACGTGACACGTATTTGTACCAGTACAAATACTCGTATTTGTACTCGTGCTTCATAGAACACAAGTAAACATGTGTATTTAATTTTCATGTAATACTAGTTTAAACCTTCTCTCCTAGAAGTAAAAGTAAAAAATAAAAAATAAATAAATAAAGGAAAAAAGAAAATCATGAAGGTATGAGCATATGTGATGTCAAAGATTCTCCGAATGTTTCTATAATCTAGTATTTTGAAATTTAACTGCCATTATAAGGGAGCAACATTAGAATATTTGCTTTTACTTTATTTTATATAAGAGTACTTTAAATATTTAAACAATTAAAAGAAGTAGGTAATGTAAAAGTCCATTGTTCTTAATGTATGAAATGTTACCTTCCAAACTAGAAAGTTGTATTCATATTGGGAAGAACCATAAGCAGAAATAGAGGAGATGGTGCCCCCCAGCGCCATTTTATTGCTAGTTTGAATAAAGCCTGAGCAGAACAAGTTGTAGCATCCTGTGGTGTTATATGCATCTCTCTGTCAGTTAACATTAACCAATTTCACCATTAAACACGTGTATATATATTAACACTATCCTAGAGAAAAAAGAAACTCAAAAGAAACATTACTGGAAAAAAAAATTAAAACGATTAAAGACTCACAGTCCAGTAGGTGAAAAGTCTGGGGTTGTCATCTCCATACAAATTTGGGAAAGCCTGTTTGTTTTTTTTCACTCAAGAGTATGGCATTGACTATGAGGAGAAATTTGATCTTAATCCTCGCCTCACTTCCGTTCGTAGTCTCATTTTCATTGATGTTGTCCACAAGTGGGGCATGTATAAAATGAATATAAAAAATTCCTTTGTCAATGGGGATCTCATTGAAGAAATTTATATATATGCAATCTCCTTCTAGCTATGATCATCCTTTTCAAAAGGTCAGTAAACTTCGACGTGTTCTCTATGGTCAAGCTCCTTGAGCTTGGTTTTCCAAGTTTAGTACCACTATTGCATAGTTTGGCTTTGCTTCTAGTCCATATGATTATGTTCTTTTCATTCACAAGACTAATCATGGCACCACTCATCTTCTTCTTTATGTTGATGTCATGATCATTATTGGTGATGATGTTAATTGTATAGTTAAGTTGAAGCACTCCCTCGGTAGTTATTTTGAGATAAAGGATCTAGGGCCTTTCAACTATTTTTGGGTCTTGAAATCTCTTCCGACTCTAGTGGCTATTATGTCTCTCAAGCAAAGTATGCCTTTGATTTACTCACCCGTGTTGGTCTCACTGACAGCATGACTACCTCCACATCTATTGAGACAAATGTTCGTCTCACTCCTCTAGATGACATTCCTCTCTCTGATGCCACATTTATTAACACTTAGTTGGCAATCTAGTCTATTTCAGTGTTACCCGATCGGATATCGCCTATGTTGTTCATCTTGTCAACTAATTTTTGGCATCTTCACACTCCACTCATTACGTTGTTGTCCTTCATATCCTTTGATATGTAAAAGGCACTTTATTTCTTAGACTTCATTATTCTCCTCATTCTATCTTGGAGCTGTATGCTTATATTCCTATGCTGATTGGGAAGGTAATCCTACTGATCGCCACTTTACCATTGGTTATTGTTTCTTTCTCAATGATTCCTTCATTTCCTGGTGTAGCAAGAAGCAAACTGTTATTTCCATATCCAGTACAGAGGGAGAATATTGTGCTCTTGCAAACACTGCGCAAGAATTATTATGGTTTCACTGGTTACTCAAAGATTTGGGGATTACTCATTTCTCTGTTACTGTCCTTTGTTGTGACAACCGTAGTGCAATTCAAATTGCTCAAATGATTTGTTTCATGATTGTACCAAACATATTGAAATCGATTGTCACTATGTTGTTCGTGGTACTATTCGCCTTCGTTCTATTTCTTCTGTCGATCAAACTGTTGATATCTTCACCAAAGCACATCCACCTGGACGTTTTCATGCTTTACTCAAGTTGTCTGCTCAATGACCTTGAGTATGAGAAGGGCAGTTAGAATGCGGGTGTTGTTGGAGGTTTTTTTGTGTGGATAAAATAGCCAATAAAGACAAAATAGGCTAAAATAGCTAATAAGATAAAATGTCATATCCAAACCATAATCATTTCACTTTTTCTCTCACAACCATCAAATCAACTATCAAAACAATATATATATATATATATCAACTATTGTTCCAAACACAACTTTTTTAACTAGGTTAAAATAGTCAAAAAAGCTAACTAAAATAGTAAAGTAACCATATCAACACAATATATTCTCTCTCTCTCTCTCTCTCTCTCTCTATATATATATATATATATATTATATTATGATATTGTAGACACCCCATTTTGACCGACCCTTTAAGATTCAACATCGTCGACTTGAGCGCTTCGGTGATGGATGGTGCATGTTGTGCTCGTTCTGAGTTTCGGAAGTATCGGCTAAGCAGCCTGCCTACGTCAGACCTCAAGGACTCCTTTTGTGGCTTTGCCTCGGTTTGCGAAACAAGGTCATATTATTCCATTCCTGAAGGGAGGGAGAAGTCTGCGGTAGACCAATGCTATAGAACGTCCGAAGGCACTACGTTCTAGTGGTAATCGTAGACCTAAGGGCGTTTCAGCCGTTTGACTGAGTCACAGTTGTCGACATTTTTCGGAATGCCGTGTGGCGACCGTGCGCTCGGTTTCTTCGGGGGATGCTCTGCTTAACTTTCTGCCGTTTGGCACGGGGTTTGGAGAGCTGAACATTTTGAACCGTCGTTTTAGCTTCTTGAGAAGGCGTTGACCGTTTGAAACCCTTGTTTGTCTTCTCCGGAGGGAAGTGAACCGTGTTTGAAACCCCTGTATTTTTAGCTCTGAGGAAAGCTTGAACCTTTAAACCTTTGCTCTAGCTTCTCCAAGAAGCTTGAACCCTCTTGTTTCTCTATAAGAGAGGGCCTCCCCCTCCTAAAGAGAGGTTGAAAAAAAATTTGTCCAAGGAAAAGCACATATATCTCTCTATATCTCTACATTCTAGGCTTAGAAAGGGTGTTTGTTCTTGGCCTTTAACACCACACCTCATAGCTACACACCTCCACCATTGATCTAAGGTTCTTGGAGGGTCTTGAGAGGTCTCAAAGAGCTGGTTTTTGGTCCAAGAAGCTGCTGGTTTTGCTGAAGCTACAAGGGTAACACACTATTCCCTCTTTTAAGCTTTATTTTGCTTCATCTTTTAGCCATACTTGCAAGCATATTTGAGCTTTGGCGTAAATTGGAAAAAATTCTTGTTTTGAGGTCCTTTTCATGTTTGTTTAAGGTCACTTTGTTATTGGGGGTCATCTACCCCCTTGCATGCTTCATTTTACCTTGTTTTGAGCCATGCCTTAGAGCATTTGTGTTGGCCTTTTAGCCACTAAAATCCAGTGGATTTTTAGTGGCTAGCATTCTGTTTTGTGTGCCAAAATCAGAGAGGGGTGACCCTCTCTCTCCTTGTTTTGTTTTCTAGCATTTTTGGCCTTACAAAGGAGCCCTTATTTGCATGCTTCCAAGCCATGTTTCAGGCCATTTTTGATGAGTTTTAGGACCTGCATAGGCTCTGTCCAGAGCTTGTTTTGCCATATTGGATGTCCATCTTGCATGTGTAGAATAACCCTCTTCATAGCATATCAAAGGAGCATCTCATTCTTGCATGCATTAACCATGTTTCAGTGGGTTTTTGGGCTTTATTTGGCATGTCATACCTCTGACTTTTGCTGGTTTAGTGGCCTCTTGATTGCCTCACATGCTTGTAGTGCAAATCCTCTTTACTAGCTTATATTGCATGCTATTTTGACCTTTGATTCTAGCACTTTTTGGCCATGCCTTAAACTGATTTTGTGCATGTTTTGGACTGCCTTAGCTCTGTTTTTGGGCCTCATGGTCGAATGATGTTTGCTATGCACGGTTGTAATTCAATACCCTTGCCTAGCTTTGAGTTTTGAAGCCTATTGCATGCGTATTTTGAGGTGTTTCTATGTTTTGGCATAGTTGTGAATCATATTTCAAAGCTTATATGTATGCCGTATTCTCATGTTTTTCACTCTTTAAATGTGTTTGAGAGTTATGCATGAATACCTCATTTTTGGACCATTGCATGAGCTTCATTTCCATGCTTTGTGAGCTATCATTTTAGTCTATATTTGCTACTATTTTGGCCTGCATAGGGACTGTTTGGGGCTGGTTTGGCCATTTGAGTATTGCTTTGCATGCCTATAGTGTAATCCACTTCACTAGTTTCGGGATTTAGGCCATCTAGCATGCATTGTGTGAGGTGTTTGCATGATTCGGGACCATCTTGCATGTCATTTCAGAGCTGGAAAATATGTGATTGTATGCCATATTTCATGCTTACCATGCTTTGGTGGAGTTGCACTTTCTACCTTAGGTTTGGTCCCTTGCATTTGTGTATGTTTGCATGTGCGTTGTTGCTTCATTTTCATCATGTATGGCCACTGATTTGAGTGTGGTTGAGGCCCATTCATTTTAGTTTAAGTCCATCTTGCATTATGTATGCCATATCCATGTTGTCGCATGCTTGATCGTCGCATTGTGTATGCCTTGTTCATGTCTTCGTGCATGTCCATCTTCGAATGTGCATTGCGTATGCCATATAGTTCATGTGTATTGAGTATGCCATTCTTAGTTCATAGCATTGTGTATGCTTGTTGCATGTTTGCATATCATCCCTCGCATGCTAGCATGATTAGGTTGCATCGCGTTTAGGGTTGCATTCTAATCGTATTGTGTATGCAATGTATATTGCATTGTGTTTGGAATAGGGCTTAGTCCAAACACGGGAAACGAGGGACGTTTCATACTCCAAGTGACGAAACGTGCCTCGATTCTCGGTCGCCGGCACTCCGGATTACCCATGATGGAGTTTAGGCCTTGTTGTGTTTATATGTGCATTCATTTTACATCGAGTCGTGCAATCCGACTCCTCGGCCATCATGCATCGAGATACGTGATTGGTGGCACGAGGATCGAGGACTACACTCCCTGGAGCTTGTGCAATGATGGGGAGGGTGGTCATGCACATATATGTTGAAAATACTTTGCCATGCCCCTTTCTCACTCTATGTTGCAGCAAACCGGAAACCAGCAGCAAAAACTGGTCAGCAGCCTTCTGGAGCTTTGTACAGTGTTCTGGGACCAGTTGCAAACAGAGGCAAATCGGGGCATCGCGATGGATTTCCCGACAAGGCGACTTGAGTATGCATGCATCCCTATCATTCAGAACAGAGCTGAGGCAGTCCATTTTGTTTAATTTGCATGCTAATTTCCTTACTTACTTAGTTAATTCGTTAATTAATTAATGTTGCATAATAATTAGTTTAATTAGCTTAGATTAGCTAGTTTATTCTGTACTATTCATTCGGACTCTCCGAGGTGGGCAATGTTATAATAAGTGTGCGTGTGTGTGTGATGCATGCCTTCCAACCCCACGTCTTTCTCCTTTTTATTTACCAGGTTATGATGGTTAGTTTAGGGCACGCTTCAATTAGCATACTTATGATCGCATGTTTGCATCCATTTATCTGTCTTGCATGCACCGGGCTCGGCGCATCATACTAACTGCATTGTATTTCAATTCTGAGTTGAATATGTGTATCAGTTGTTGCATTTCATATGCCATTTTAGAATAGCCGAGCCTATCTTAGTTGCATTT